TAAAATATGGAACGTATTTATTTAAAAAATCAGGTGCTAATTTTCTAAAAAATGCTCAGACACGACCATTACAATTTTTTCTTGCTCATTTTTTGCACTAAAAATGAAATATGCAGAAGGCTTCAAAAAGGAGATATGGATATGGCAAGAATTTTTTTTTAATGGGTCACTCTGTATCTTTTTCTTCTTAAGGTGCCGACTTCTTGCGAAGGTTGGCGACCATCATGACTAATTCACTCTGTATATTGTAATCTAAAATGAAAGATCTTTCTGTTCTGATTTCAAAAATAGGTACCATAAAAATTAATATTTGGTTCAGCCATTTTAGCGCCATTATAATTAAAGGTTGTGATAAAATACCCTAAAATACCGTAAAATTCGAAATATTATAATATTAATGAGGAAGTTATAGCAACTTAGCTTAAAAATTAAAGGAATAATAAAGTAATATTAAGTGAATAACCTTATTCCCTTTTTTAAGTTAAGTTGCAATGTTGACTATCTCATTAATATTTCGTATTTTAGGGTATTTTATCATTTAACTGAAAAATGGCTGAACAAATATCAACTTGTATGGTATTCTTGAAATCAGAAAAGAAAGCTATTTCATTTTAGGTTACAATATACCAGCCCCGGATCTACATTTTTTTTTGAACCGGGGCAAAAAATTGATAGTAGCGCCCCCTCTCTCCAGCGTTTGCAATAAATTAATTTAAAAAACTTACAAATATCTAGATATAGGCAGATATAAGTAGGCATTTTTCGTAAACGGGACAGAATGAGCCCTTAAGCTTCATTCAGAACCTCCGAATTAGTGGAATAAATTAGTGGTTTTAATTAGCGTAGAAGTTTGTTTCTGTAATTTCAATATAAGCATTCAGAACGTCTAAATTAGTGGTAGTCATTTTCAATTAGTAGAAAAAGTAAACAAACTTTTGACTTTTCCACTAATTATACTTCAAATTTTGCGGGAAATGTCATTTTGGCCATTGATCCGTCAAGAGAAATCGTTGTTAGAAATCAAAAGTTTATTGTTTTATAAGCTAAATATTTGGCTTTCTTTATGGTTACAACTGACTACCGCAAGCTGTTGCTAGGATATTCTATTAATTTTAATTGTGTTTTCCAAACATTGTGAATGATCGTAAATTAAAAAGTATAAAGTGTAATAATCGAAACCGCTAATTTATTCCACTAATTGCGAGGTTCTGAATGAAACTTTAGAATGTGTTCAAAAACTAACTGAGCGTTTTAAAATTAAATGAATACTTGATAGAAGAACGTAAAGTGCATACTAGGCGCTTTGTGTAGCATTTTTTTTATTTTCAACCGCATTATAAAATGATTTTGGCGCCCCTTGACACTGGCGCCCGGGGCAGGTGCCCGGTTTGCCCTCCCTTAGATCCGGGGCTGCAATATACACTATGGTGACGCATTAAAAAATATATAAATTTCTTATCAAATCCACTTTTTGAATATTTTCTTCTTAATGCAAAAAATGCGCCAGAAAAAATTATAATGGACGTGTTTCGTCTTTGAGCATTTTTTTTAAAAACTAGTACCTGATTTTTAAATAATTATGTTTAGCCCATCTCTGTACAATTTTGATAAAAAAAATATTCTCGGAGAAAATTTACTTTACTCTATCGTTCGAATCGTTACTTATCTGATTTTTTCAAAAATTGGTAGGTTTTAGTTCCAAGTTACCGCGGATGGCGCGGATCCGTTCATCGCGAATACCAACGAATCCGTCGTAAGTTCGTAAGCATTTTCAATTTAGTTGAAATACATACCTGTCTTTAAAATCCGTCAAAAGCTAAAGGCTGGTTAAAAAAAAAACAGAAAAGCTTGCGAAAACAAGCAAATTCAAAATTACTCGCTGGAAAAACTGTACACATAACCTTAAATTTTTTTAAACAGGTGTGTCTAAAGTCTAAATTTTTATTACTTTTACGACTTAGCCAGAAGTCATAAGTTTTTTAAAAGAAGACATGACACTCATGACAGGTGCTAAAGGATTTAGGATTAAGGCAAATTTTATGGGTTAAGAATTTGGAGCTATATTTTAAATATATTTTATTATTTCGAAGGAAAATTAAGTAAATACATACTAACATAATCACATTACCACAGTTCTCTCAACGTGTCACCGCCCTCCTAAGATTTGCCGCCCGGTGCTATAGCACCAAATAGCACCCTTGTAAAACCGGCACTGCCGTGGGGTATATATTTTCCTATTATTATCATTGGTCGTTGCTTTTTCTGTCATTTTTTGTATGTTGTCTGTTTGGATATAACCAGGAAGATAAACGTTAAGTATAACTATATATAATTATTTATTATTTAATTATCCTTTTCATTACATTTTATTTTTTTATTGATTGCATTTTTTTATGTTTATTGTTTATAAGTCAATATTTTCCAAAAAATTACAATAATTTAACATTATTAGCTGACCATACCAACAGGTATGGTAGGCTATTAAGATCGGCAAAAAAAAGTTTTTTTAATTTCACTCAAATGAGTTCATAAATGACCTAAATACAAAATATTTTCATGGTGTCTGTCTGTTTGTCTGTCCGTCTGTAACACGATAACTCAAAAACCGCTAAACCGATTTTAACCAAATTTGGCACAAAAATACTGTGGCACCCGAGAATCTGGCCATTAGTTTTTGGTGTGGGTGGAGGGTTGGTAAGGGGGTATGGGAGGGGGTTAAAAATTTTAAAAAACCGTAACTCCAAAATTACAGTAGCTAGCGAAACGCGGTTTTCAATTTAAGATTAGGAATAATATCTGCAACAAAATTTGTAATAACATCAAAATCAGTCAAAGTCGCAGTTTTTGAGATATTCCGTGTTTCCGTAGTCCGTTTTCGAGAAAATCCGTGTGGAGAACTCCAAACTCCCATTGGACGCGACCCCAGGTGGCGGATAGGGGAAATAACCGCGCACCAAAATTGGAAAAATTCCTTTACTTTGAAACTAAAAGAAGTGCCTACCAACTTTTTATTAACATATTTTAGTATGGGCGGCTATACGTGCCTCCCGGCGCCAATTTTTTTTTAGTAAATTCATGAAAACTTGTGCATGGCTTTTGCCTAATAACATTATATAAGATTAATTATATTATAATATAATTTAAAACTCTTCAAAGTCAAAGTTTTCCCCTAGTACAGTCTTTATTAGATTAGCTGAAGAAAGTCGCGCTTGAAACGCCCATGAAATAAAAACTTTGTAAATATTATTACTGTGACAGTTCACAGCATTATTTTCACACCCAGCTACTTACATAATTAAGTTTTCATAAGAAATACAGTCAATTTCAAACGACAAACTTTAAGAAAACTATAATAACTTGTAAATAATGTCCTTATAATGCCTATATCTTTATGGCAGGTTCATTTCTTGAAAAAAAATCTGTGTTTTTCTAACAAAAAAGTTTTTTTTTGTCAACACCGCTTCCTTGAATCCAAACAAAAAACAGTGTCAGTGGGTTTTTACTAATAAAACAAATTTGCTTAAGAGACAAAAAATGCTCCACCTTTCAGGAGGTATATACAGGATTGGCCGAACAGTATTCCGAAAACTTCGGTAGCATATTCTGCAGATAAAAATAAGTAAAAGAGTTTCTATAAATTTATGTCCTAAAATACTTAGTTTCGGAGATACAGGGTGTAGAAGTTTCATTATTATTTCGATTTTTTCTAAATAATTTATGAAGTAACCTCAATATTTGGACGAAAATTGGTGTCTGGGAGTTTTGTCACACGAGAAATTTGATTTTGATGTCAAAATTACTCTTATTTGTAGGAGGCGCTACATGCGTTTTGATTGGTTTGAAGAGTAATAACTTTCCGTCCGTACCTGTATAAAACTATTGACTGTACATTCTCATGACTTTTTACGTAAAAAATGTCTCTTGGTGAAAATCGCTACGAGCAACCGTTCTCAAGATATTTAGAATAGATAGGTATTGATAATTTCAATTCCAAATATCTCGAGAACCATTACTCTTAGCGATTTTAAGAGACCCTTTTTTATGTAAAAAAAGTTGTAAATGTATATTTTTTTACTCAATAGTTTTATACATGATTGGACGAAACGTTATTACTCTTCAAACCAGTTAAAACATATGTAGATGGCGCCCTCTTCAAGTAGAAGTCATATTGACATGAAAATCAAATTTCTCATGTCAAAAAACTCCCAGATACCAATTTTCATCCAAATATTGGCGTTACTTCAGAAATAATTTGGAAAAAATCAAAATAAATGAATTAAGAATAACTTTTACAATATTCGAAATGAAACTTCTACACCCTGTATCTCCGAAACTAAGCATTTTAGGACATACATTTATACGGACTTTTTTACTTATTTTAATCTGTAGAATATGCTGCCGAAGGTTCCGGAATACAGTTCGGACCACCTTGTATATTACATTTTTCGTATATTCCAATGACTAAAGAATATAAGGACATGTAACGCCCCTATACGGGCTGCAGCAGAATTTGTGACCTTTTTTTTTGTTTTGGTGGCAAACAATGAGTCATTATTTGGTCACCAGCGACAATTTTAGCGATTTTTAATAATTTGTGTGTAGTAAACTTTGTATAAACTTTATTACAATGGTAATTAGTTGTTCAGCTTTCGAGTGTAAAAGCAGCAGCGATAAGAAAGAGCCAGGAGTTACGTTTCATCGGTAAATAAACAGTCCACTCCAACTTTTTAGCGTTTTCTTATTGAATTCGATAACTATTCTTCAATTTCAATTAACATCTATATGTACTTGATATGTGCTATACGTCGATACTAGTTTTGTACCTTTTGTTAACATTTTAATACGTTTTTTTCGTAATTAATTAGGATGATACACCATAGGCGTAGTCAAAACAATTGTCAAAAAATATAAATATTGCTTCAAACAGCTGGGTTAAGAAAACTATGTGCCACGGCACTGATTGGTGACATCGTCACAATTTGCTCTCGGGTGTTATTTGTCCTTGGATTCTTTAGTCATTGGTATATTCGCTATTTAAACCAGTGTTTACGATATTCTCCGATGGTGGCAGCACCGGCGGGGAATGCACCAAGCCTATAGACAAACCTAGAATTTTTTCCAAGAAATAAAGTTCTGTGCTAAGTTTTAAAAATCTATAATTTTCAATCCCCAACTTCTCTTTCTGTTTCACCGTGTCAAAGTCTTTTGACAGTTTGTAGTTAACACTCTCTTCACCAAAAAAAGAGACTTGCCAGTTATTAAAGACTGACTTCTTTTTCTTTTTGAGTTAGTTGACTGCCTTCTCCAACTACTGCTTCCAGTGTGTACAGTTGATAATCCACGGCATACGCGATCCTGAGTAACGTCACCAATATTTGACAGCCGAAGAAGACGATTGTCAAATCAAATGTGTGTATGAGGACGAAGTAGGGCAAATAGAAATTAACTTGCCTTTCGTGCAGGGTAAAGTTGTTGATGAGGGAGTTACACCTAGAAACAGAAAATTGCTAATTAAGTGCTATTAAGCTTCATTCAGAACCTCGTAATGGTTTAAATTACACTTTAGACTTTTTAGTTTACGATCATTCACAATGTCTAAAAAACACAATTAAAATTAATAGAATATTCTAGGAACAACTGGCGGTAGTTAATTAATTGTATCCATAGGGAAAGACTAATATTTAGCTTATAAAACAACAAACTTTTGATTTCTAACCACAATTTCTCTTGACAGATGATAATAAAAGGCCAAAATGACATTCCTCGCAACTTTTGAAGTATAATTAGTGGAAAAGTTAAAAGTTTGTTAACTTTTTCCATTAATTGAAGATTAGGAGGTACCACTAATTTTGGCGTTGTGAATGCTTACGTTGATATTAGAGGAACAAACTTCTACGCTAATGAAACCATTGATTTATTCCACTAATTTGAGGTTCTGAATGAAGCTTTATGGAGTTATCAAAGTTGTTACAGTTTGTCATAAAATCTATTGTATAGTCTGTAAAACGAATAACTTTGAATTTGACAGTTCCCGCGGGCTTTTCTAGTGTTAATTTTATTAGGTTAGCAACTTGCGGCCATGCTGACGCAATGCCGTCTCTAATAGAACAGCCACGAGGCGAGATTTATGACGTCACGCTAGTTAGATACTACGGATTAATAAATATGTTGTAGAATACATGGAAAACATAATTATTCCTCGTATTTTTGGTTTGTATTTTAAAAATGATATAGTTTACATGAAATATAAATAATATACAGTTAATAAATACAATATGTATATATATATATATATATATATATATATATATATATATATATATATATATATATATATATATATATATATATATATATATATATATATATATATATATATATATATATATATATATATATATATATATATATATATATATATATATATATATATATATATATATATATATATATATATATATATATATATATATATATATATATATATATATATTGTATATATATATATATATATATATATATATATATATATATATATATATATATATATATATATATATATATATATATATATATATATATATATATATATTATATAGCAATAAATACTTTAGCAGATAAACTATGAACCATACAAATGCAGCAAATATTTTACAATATCGCTGAAATTGTACTCCATAGTCAATGTAGATAGTTTTTGTGAATTGAAGTTTATATTAGTTTATTAATTGCAGTAAACATTATAATATATAAATAAATTTTGTGAATGCAAATAATAATACATCACTATTAGTAGATATTGAATATTTTTAATTTTATGTTATATTAGATCGATTTTCAAAACCCAAAATTTAAAATATATTTTACATTTTACCCATTATCTTATGTACCACCTATTCATTATTTGTATATTGTAAAACATTTGCTGCATTTGTATGGTTCATAGTTTATTTGCCAAAATATTTATAACTATAAATAGGTACATATTATATTGTATTTATTAACTGTATATTATGTATATTTCATGTAAACTATATCATTTTTAAAATACAAACCAAAAATACGAGGAATAATTATGTTTTTCGTGTATTCTACAACATATTTATTAATCCGTAGTATCTAACTAGCGTGACGTCATGAATCTCGCCTCGTGGCTGTTCTATTAGAGACGGCAATGGTCTAATATTTAGAAATGTCAAAAGCTGATGACATTTTACTTTTGTCATTTATGACATTTCGTATTGATTTTTGCAAGGAGAGGAAGAACTGTCACTTGTTTTATTATTTTCCTTTTCTATTTCTATTTTCTTTTTAAGTAAAAAGAGTAACGTATCTGATTCGTTCAGGCACTCAATTTAAAGAATATCAGTAACTTTTTTGACAGAGGGATTTTATATTTGCCATGTTGGTAAAAAATAACGGTCAAAATTCAAAGTTATTAATTTTACAGACTATATAATTATAAAATAATAGGAGGAAATATGATATGATTATTTCTTTTTTAAATTTGTGGTAGAATGGTAAAAGTATTAATTAAATTAATAAGTAATATTAATTTGTATTGAAAATCTGACATTTCACTCTATTTTAATAACAAAAAAATACAAAAAAAATTAATTATACCTCTAAATGAGGAATTTTATTATTTTTTTCTAAAAAAATTAGTGTACCCTGTAAATTCTTACCTTTTTTCACCAGAGAACATTTCAAAATTTTCACAAAACTGTCTTATTCCCTTCTTCAGAAATAGCGATGCTATGAAGTTGATCACACCAAGAAGAATTGAAGACAGCAGGATGGGATAGATCATCATTTGCGGTTTTTTTAGACTAAAATACAATATTTTTATACTTTATTGGTTTATCTTTAATCTTGTATATGTTTTTACCGTACGATCGAAAAAAAAAACGGCATCAAAGACGGCAGAATAACAATCTATGTTAATTTTGGCGAGGTCAATCTTTAGGCGTCATTTACTAAATATTGTTATAAAATATGTCAAAAAATTACCGCTAATTATAGAAAGATTAAAAAAGGATAGAACCTTTTCAGACACAGAAATCTATTTTTAAATAAAAAATTGGTCGGACTCGCGCACCATTCATTATCTATACAACAATAGACACTATATTATTAGAAACTTTTTTTCCGATTTAGCTGAAATTTTGAATGCGCGTATAAGTAATTTAAAAAAAATGAAGAAACACATTACTAAAACTTGTATTAATCAATAATAAATATGTAAAAAGTAAAAATAAATATGTAAAAGTTAAAAAAAACGATTAAAAAAAAGTCGCCTTGACTAGGATTCGAACCTGCTTTACTACGGCTCCAACGTCATAGCAGCGTAAAGTCCTAACGCTTTAACCACGCAGCCACCGAGGACTTGAAAGATTCTATGTAAAATTCTTACTTAAAAGATAATGTTTAGTGAAAGTACTTTTTTAATTATAAACATTTATTTAATTCTGTTTTCAGTATTTGTCTTATAGCGGCAACATAGAAACATTATCTGTGAAAATTTCAACTGTCTAGCTATAACGGTTCGTAAGACCTTTGTGACAGACGGATGGACGGACGGACAGCGAAGTTTAGTAATAGGGTTCCCGCTTTTACACTTTGGGTACGGAACCCTAAAAAGAGTACAGTCCAAGTAAATGATGTCTAGAGCCTCATTACACATCGACAACACTATAACCGATTGTCATTCCCAGCCGTCTTAGTTGTAATGTAAGTAGTTGCATTGTTTGTATATGTTCAGATTACCGATGGTTAGACTGTGTATTACCTATATTTAGACAGCTGTGTAAATAAATATGCAGAAAAATAACCATTTTGTTGTGCTTTAATTGAAACGATTTACACAGTATTATTTGAAGTAATATACCCGATGAGCATTTTCAATATTTCAAAAAATTTAATATGAACCAAAGTTATGTTTTTTCAAATGTAACATCCTGTATATTTATAACTCATATATGATCCGTCTTGCTCTGAGGTTTTGAAAAATATATATCACTCTATGTTTATTTTCACTATTTACTGCAATATTTAAAATATATCATTTTCTTATTAGTAGGCCATGATAAATAACAAAAAAATCAAAATGGTATTTAGTAAAATAGTCATACACATATTAAAATTTTATTTGGGATTGATATATTTCACTTTTAAACTGTTACCACTGAATCTCTGAATATATTTTTCTTTTTTATAACGGAATTTATTATAACGGGGGATGGGTTTGAAAATATCTGAAAGCTTGCATTATTAAAACAATTATTAAATATTTATATTTTTGAGAAGCTTATGGCAAGCCAGATCATATAGTTTATAACGGGGTATTCCATTTAAGAAAACATAACTTCAGTTCATATATTTAAAACTATTCTTTTCGTAGAATAACAGACTACGCCACTGTATTCTATGTAAAAAGTTCTACAATAAACAGTTTTTACCTTCTCGATACCTTTAACAATTAATAACAGATATACAGGGGGTGTCCTAAATTGCAAAATTTTCAAAAAGACCCTGTAGCTCAGAAATGAAGAGGGCTATGAGAATTTTGTTTACGGCATCTTCCGTTTGACAAAAATTGGGACTGGTTTGTGCAAACCGCACCCTTCTATCTTCACTAATAAAGGAGGTCTCATATATGATTTCACTCAAAACGGGACATCCTGTACAGGGTGTCCCATTTTTGTTGAAATCATACGGTATCTCCACTATTAGTGAAGATAGAAAGATGCGGTCTGCACAAGCCTGTCCCACTTTTTTGTCAAACGAAAGATGCTGTAAACAAAATTTTCACAACCCTCTTCGTTTCTGAGCTACAGGGTCTTTTTGAAAATTTTGCAATTTGGTACACCCCCCGTATCTCTGTTACTGCGAAAGATATCGAGAAGGTAAAAACTGTTTATTGTAGAACTTTTTACGGAGAATACAGTGGCGTAGTCTGTTATTCTACGAAAATAATATTTTTGAAAATATGAACTAAAGTTATGTTTTCTTAAATGGAACACCCTTTATATTTATAAATTATATGATTTGGCTTGCCATAAGCTTCTCAAAAATATATATCACTCTATATTTATTTTCACTATTTACTGCAATATTTAGAAGTTTTTATTAAAAAATCATATTTATTAGTAGGCCATGACTTTGGCCATGATTGACAATAAAAGAAAATAAAGAATTATTAACAATATACCGCTGTCTATCTCTTGTTTTATTTTAGGGGCCACTAATAAATTTTGTCTATAAATATTAGGAAAACTTAACTCTCTACCGCTATTTGTAACTCTTGGAAGTTATCGAGCCGAAACTTTTAGATATGTTTTAGCTAATTTACGTGAAATATACTTTCAGCAAGATGGGGCTTTCCCTAACAACTTTGAAAATATTAGGATTTTGTTAAATTATTATTTCTCAAATCAATGAATTGCATTGAAAGGAACCAATGCAATGGCTTCCCTGGTTCCTGGATTTGTCCGTTCTCGATTTCTGATTTTGGAGATTTTCAAAATATGAAACATTTCGTGGCAACTACAACAATGTCGAACACCTGGAAAATGTTTTAATAATGCAAGCTTTTAGATATATGCAAACCCATCCCGTTATAAAGAAAAAAAGATATATTCAGAAATTCAGTAGTAACAGTTCAAAAGTAAAATATATCTATGCCAAATAAAATTTTGTTATGTTATTGTAGTTATGTGTTTGTTATGTATTTGTTTATGTTATTTATCACGGCCTACTAATAAAAAAATGATATATTTTAAATATTGAAGTAAATAGTGAAAATAAATATAGAGTGATATATATTTTTGAAAAGCTCATAGAAAGACGGATCATATGATTTATAAATATACATGGTGTTCCATTTGAAAAAACATAACTTTAGTTCATATTTTCAAAAATATTTTTTCCGTAAAAAAATAGACTACGCCACTGTATTCTACGTAAAAAGTTCTACAAGAATCAATTTTCACCTTCTGGATATCATCCACAATAACGGAGATACTGGGGCGGTCCCAAATTGCAAAATTTTCGAAAAGACCCTGTAGCTCAGAAACGAAGAGGGCTATGAAAATTTTATTTACAGCATCTTTCGTTTGACAAAAAAGTGGGACAGGTTTGTGCAAACCGCATCCACCTATCTTTACTAATAACCGAGATACCGTATGATTTCAACCAAAATGGGACACCCTGTACAGATTTTGTCAATATCGAGTAGAAACGATAGAACATATTTATACAGCTTGATGAATGTGCAGTTTTCAGCCGACCATTTTTTTTACCAATAGGTATGGTAGGCTATTAAGATCGGCAAAAAAAAAGTTTTTTTTTAATTTCATTCAAAATGAGTTATTTGGGTCATAAATGACCTAAATACAAAATATTTTCATGGTGTCTGTCTGTCCATCTGTCCATCTGTAACACGATAACTCAAAAACCGCTAAACCGATTTTAACCAAATTTGGCACAAAAATACTGTGGCACCCGAGAATCTGGCCATTAGTTTTTTGTGGGGGTGGGGGGTTGGTAAGGGGGTATGGAAGGGGGTTAAAGATCGTAACTCCCAAAATCGTAACTCCCAAATTACAGTAGCTAGCGAAACGCGGTTTTCAATTTAAGATTAGGAATAATATTTGCAACAAAATTTGTAATAACATCAAAATCAGTCAAAGTCGCCCCATACAGCACATCAAATCACATTTACGATGTGTTTACATTATTAGATGTAGACACAGGGTGACACAATTCCCCCGATGTAAATATGCTACGTTTACACATTGTAGTTCAACACGTATACACAAAGGTTAAACGTCCGCCTCACAGTGTAGCCACAGTATAGCATTTACGTATACACAAAGTAAGGGATACACAGTGTGCCGTAGGATACACAGTGCTTGTGTATTACGTTTAAACTCTGTTTACACATTGCAGTTGTGACTACCGCGTGTATATACATCTTGTGCTAGATGAAACTACTTCTTATGAACGAATTTAGGAAATAATACAAGTTTTGATGCCTAACTTTTCGTTCTTTTTAAGAAATATTTATTCAATGATACAATTATATCTTTTTAGAACAAAAATTAGGAAGGCAAAACTTTGTATTTTAAAAAAATATCTCGATCGTAAGTTCAAGAGAAGTAGCCTTAAAATTGTTCCATTTTTGTTTTGTATTAAATGTACCATTTTTCTTCCATAAAATAGCGCAAATAACACAATAATTATAATTATTTACACTGCAGAAACCAGAAGTAAGAAAACACTGTAAAAGAACAGAATTTGTATCAAAATGTATTAAAAATATAAGTACCTAGTATAACAACATACTAAAATGGTAAACACTGGTATATCGCCACGATTTGGTGGACCTCGTTTAGTCATTTTTTTCTCCTCTTTTCCCTCCAAGCAGTTGGTTTGTTCGTGTTGGACTTTGTTGTATTTTATTTCCAGATTAACAATCTCACCCTTAAATTTTATATGAAACTGTTTATTGAATATTAAATATATCTGTAGATTGATCCATCAATAACTTACCGAATATCAGTGTAAGAAGTTCTTTGAAGTGTTTAAATCTTTCTTTCTCTAGTCCATTTAGATTTTTATTATTTCCAAATTAAAAAAAATATATTGCAGAGCTAACCTCTTTATCATTATACGAGAATATTTGGAGTTTTCATTCATTGGGGTCAAAATTTGGTAAATTAGGTATCGAGTAAGGGAAGAGTCGCTGCTATAATATTAATAATGCTCTTAGGAAGGTGTAACAAGGTAATTAAAAACTTGTGCTTGCCTCAAAATCTCTTTTAAACTACACACAAACAGAACATTTATATAGACCTTCCGAATGATAAAACAATAATGGCTGCTAACACATACCACTCCTAGAAAGGAGAACAGAGAGAGGACACATAAGATACACTTGGTCGGTGTATCTACGCTGAGGGCTATCCGCGCGTGCACACACCTTTATTTCATGCTAGAATGTAGACAAAACAGTACACTATTACAAAGTGTCTATATAAATATTTATATTATGTGTATACGTCACATTTTTACAAGGTGTGTACTATAGGCACAACTATGATACGAAGTATCACACATACATATGACTTATACATTGTATGTCTTATATACCGACGTCAGATTTCATCATTTTAATAATTATTTGTTAGGTTACAAAAAACTCTTTAGAATCTTGAGTGCATACGGTATACAACTAGTAAACACTGTATCACACAATTCTATCAATATAAACCTGCGTGTATCTCATATGTATATGTTAGAACTAGATGAACACTTAGGTTCATTTTAACATATTTGGTTTCTCATGTGTCTCCCCTGTAGAAACGTAATTTCATTTGGACGTGCTGTATGGGGCAGTTTTTGAGATAAAAAAAATTGGAAAAATTCCTTTACTTTGAAACTAAAAGAACTGCCTACCAACTTTTATTAACATATTTTAGTAAGGGCGGCTATACGTGCCTCCCGGTGCCAATTTTTTATACTAGGCAATGATAGGCCATTATCGACAAGGAGCTTGATATAGAGGATTCAGTCTCTAAGTTGCTAGACTTTTTGAAAAATGATAGGATTGGATTCTGATCCTCGTGTAACCTGAGGATCAGGAGAGGACCACAACAGACCTGAAAAGGTCTTAGTGGAATAGATCGAAAGCTACCCCAAAAATCTAACCTAATCTATACCTAAAGTCTGTCCAACGAGCCAGTGAAAAATTGTGAATTAAAATTACAGGCACAAAACTGTCACTGTAATGGATCTTAGGTCATTCATAAAGCGTATGTGATTTGATAAAGTAATACTTACGTATTATTCGTTGGTCCTCTGCCTCCTTTGGAACACATCGCCAAAATAATGATACAAAACGCCGAAAAAATGAACGTGATCAATGTAACACCCAGCACATAGTTACAATACGAATGAGAAGCGAACCGTGACTTTTTCACATCAATCTTCGCACTCACCAACACTATAGCACCGTCTTCTTTTAAATAAACATGCGAGTCGTTCTTGAAAATCACAGTTTCCTTTTCCACATCATCAGGTTTCACTGTTGTGATATTCAGATCTAGAGCGTTTTCGGTGGTGTCGACAAATCCGAGTTCTGGCGAGGGTGATTTGGTCGAGTTGACAAAATCGCTTTGAATGGTTTCTCTTTCGAAGACCAGATCGGTGCAGAACAGGATGCAGTTGTATTTGAAGGTCTGGAACATGTTTCCTGCCGACATGGATGATATGAATGCGTTGATGGCTATGGCCACGTAGAAGGTGATGTGGAGACCTGTAATAAATTAATGGGATTAATAATATACCGGGTGTTGCATCGTCGAGCGGGACATCGAAACGATGGAAACGACAGAGAACGATGGAAAGATCAGCACAAGGAAACTTGAGGATGAAATAGGAATAGATCACACTACAACGTTTCAAATTTTGAAACGACATAAATACTATTCCTTCAAATATGAAAAGCACCAAGAGCTACGAGATGGGGACGAAATACGGCGGCAGGTGTTTTGTTTTGATATGATGGAAAGAGCAAACACGGATAGGGAATTTTTAAAAAAACATATGTTTCATTGACGAATGCACGTTTACCTTAAATAATGAACCCAATGTTCAAAATTATCGATATTGGAACAAAGAAAACCAACACAGGTTTGTCGAAACAAGGACGCAATATCCACAGAAAGTAAATGTTTGGGCAGGGATATTCGGACACAATATTATCGGGCCATTATTTCTTACGCGAAATTTAAATGCAGAATATTATTTGGAACTACTCGAAAATCATATTTTACCTGCTTTACACATGATACCACTAGGGAAAATCAGGAAGTTTGGTACCAAATGGATGGCTGCCCGGCACATAGTACCCTGGCTGTTCGGGAATATTTAGACAACAGTTTTAACGGAAACGTTATTGGCCTAAATCATACAGTAAATTGGCCAGCAAGGTCTCCTGATATTTCGCCAAATGATTTCTTTCCCTGGGGCCATTTAAAAAACAGGATATAAAAGGATAAAAATACCCAAATTTAGACGAGTTAAAAAATGCTATTTCTGCCGAATGCAATAGAATTTCAGTTTACCGCAACTAGCGAATGTAAGAAGAGAATTTTATGATCGCCTGGGTTATTGTCTAGCAGTCGATGGAGGAATATTTGAACATCTTCTTAAATCCTAAAGTTCTAACAATTTAATAGTACCTAAATTAATAAGTTATTGAATATTGTAATAATACTATAATTAACCTTGTAATTAACTACTTTATTTTACTTTAATTCATATTAATTTGTGTTTATAAATACATCTTTAAGATTTCCGATGTAGGAATGAGTTTTCAATAATAATAAAGCACTAAATAGGTAAATTTTTGAAATGACAACTTCATTTGACAGTTATCTTTTACCTTGACTGGTGCTCATAAGTAAATACAGGGCCATAAGAAAGGGGAAATATTTAAAAAGGAATCGGCGATAACTCGTAAACGAGCTAATCAAAAATATCTAAAGTTATTCTTATGAATGTGGGTTTTAGTGTTCTTCAATAAACCTAAATAGAATTATTCTCTAAAATAATTAGGGAAGCCAATAAATGACCCCATTAAAATTTACATGTCCCGTCCGACGATGCAACACCCGGTATACCCGATGAGCATTTTCAATATTCCAAAAAATTCAATATGAACCAAAGTTATGTTTTTTCAAATGTAACAACCTGTATATTTATAAATCATATGATCCGTCTTGCTCTGAGCTTTTCAAAAATATATATCACTCTATATTTATTTTCACTGTTTACTGCAATATTTAAAATATATCATTTTCTTTCATCAAAATGGTACTATTGACCCCATTAAAATTTACATGGGATTTCCTATGTCCCGTCCGACGATGCAACACCCGGTATTTGATTTTGCTGTATTTGGAAAAGTTAAACCAAAGTAGGCTATAATGATTAGGGTGTCCGTTATTTACCAAGTTGATCATTTCTCTCACGACGCCCTCTCAATTTTTAGTTTATTGTCTAAAGAGAATAACAAACCATTGTAAACCCTTAATATTCACAATAAATCTTGCCCCAAAGACGGTTAATTTCTCATTTAAATTACAAGGGAATTTGCCATTTTTTGCAAATATTTGTTTTCTCTCGATCTTGTTCTCTCGCAGCCATGACAATTATATATTCTGGTACAGAATTGATCGCTCTACAAAAAAGGTTTCTTACAAGTTTTCGATAGACCTACTCGTAATAGATTAAATTATTCAAAAATAATCATAATTTTGTCAAAAAAAAAGAAGAATTTAGGAATTTACCGAGTGGTTAACTTTAACCGTGAATAACTTTTGAAGGAGTAGGTTTACCGAAAAATTGTGAGAGACCTTTTTTGCTTAGCGTTCTATTCTGTATAATATCATGAAATTACCATGGCTGCAAGAGAATAAAATCGAGAGAAAAAAAATATTTGCAAAAAGTGGCAAATTCCTATATAATTTAAATTGGAAATGAATCGTCTTTGGGGCAAGGTTTATTGTGAATATTAAGGGTTTACAATGGTTTGTTATTGTTTTTTAGACAATAAACTAAAAATTTACAGGGCGTCGTGAGAGAAATGATCAACTTGGTGGTAAATAACGGACACCCTAATAATAACATAAACCTATTATACAAGATTTTTCGCACAACTACACTCAGATGCAAAAAAAACGTAACGGAAATTTTTTTCGTTAGGTTTAAAATGTTTTTGTGTGTATTTTTCTTACTTTTAGCCCTATTTTCATGATTTTTTTAGCCTCCTTCCAAGTAGCAAAAAGAAATTCTAAAAGGACTGAATTATTTTATAACAGTCGAATAGCGTTGTCTTAAGTACTACTTGATTTTATTAAGCGTTTGGTTTCGACCATTCTGTTTTTTAATTAAAGTTGTCATATTAAACAATTTTCTAGTGGTTTTTACAACGTATCCTATAACGCATTAAACGATAATTTCTTTTAGTATGATATAACACTTAATAAGACAATGCTATATGATAACAAACATATTATTTTATTAGACTCTTATACCCACCATGTAAGAGTTCTATAATATTCATATAACTAGCAGTCACAAGATCATATAATAGTTACTTAAACTTGTCTTATTAAAGTTGTATTACGTTGTATGATAGAATGTTTTATTGCGTTAAACTACGGTGCTGTATACAACACCAGTTATATAGCCTTATATGATAAAATTGTGATTAACAAAATAAATTCGCTGTAATATCTGCATTATAAAACTGGTAATGTATAATATAACCTCATTTTAAATTAAATGGTATACCTAGTTATTTATTTTGTTATTGTTGTTGTTGCAAAAGTAATATCTACGTACGAGTATAATCAATCACAGCTATTATGAATTCTGGACAAAGTTGGAAAAAAGTTAACCAACGCAGTGGTAGTTATAAAGAGCATGTAAGAAAAAACTCCTCGAAATTACGGCAAATAATCCCGAGAATTCCCTGGGTTCCCAAAAGCCAAAATCTCTCGGGTTGTCTGGCTTCTTCAAAGCATTGTTGCCACGTTGATGTAAAAGTTTTACTGTAGTAATGTTTGTATTGTTTTATTGTTGTTTTTCCAAGTCCTTAGGTTGCCGCTCACTCGTCGGGCACGCATGAAATGCATTGCGTGCATGAATCCATGAAAATCTGATCATGTTTGCTAGTTTAAATACTAATCAAATGAGATTTGGCAACATCTATTTGTCACAAATCTCAATATGTCCAAAATAGTTCTATAGTGCCTGGAAATTCTGCGTAATGAAATTCTGCGATATTTATCCTATACCGTTTTATTTTACAGCAGACTTATTTAAGGGATTCATTTATAAAAATGGTTGCATTATAATTCGCCGTGTTTAAGGCAGATTTTTTGTATGGCCTATGGCCGCCATTATATTAAGCAAAATTAAAAACATCAAAATAAATTGTAAAATGTTATTTTTGAGAACTATTTTGTGATAAGATTCCCACATATAGTAATAAAGTGTTTAATTAAATTAAAAACAAGAATTTTTGAAAATTTTATTTTATTTTATTGTTTAAATTTATACGTAAACCTTAATCGAAATTAAAGAGCTTTAATTTTTTGCCAAATACATACCTACAATCTACCAGTAAAATTTTCGGCGCAACAAAAATTGTCCCTACTTTTCAAACCCTATTAATGATTTTTTATATTACATATTTGTTGTACCTTCTGGCTCTACCCGCCATTTTCATTGTCGAGTAAAGTCTCCTTTTTAACAATCCACATCCTCTAGATTCATTTTACGACACGCTTAAAATACAATTTGCTCCTAATATGCTTCGGTAAAAAATAAAATACTCTTTACCTCGCTAAATGATCAAATGTTTTTATTGTTCTGTTTCTTAGATGTGACACAATAAAACAAGTTTTATAATAATTATATAACGCTTGGTAAAATAGTTGCATAAGAGTTGTATACCCTTTTTATAGAACTTCTATACTACTAAACGGTTGTATAAAAATGGGTCTTTTTTGGTTGTAAAGCTATCATATTACGGTCTTATAGCACGTTATATGAATTGAGGTATAATAAAAATTATCACATAGCTGTTTATACAGCCTTTATAAAATAAAATTTGCTACTTGGGCTGTATATAAATCTAACAACTTTAATTTATAAACTCAGTGTTTTTATAAAGTTTAATATTGGGCTTGTTGTACAGGGTTAATTGAGTGTGCAATAATTTCTTGAATAACTTTTCTTAAACGATCACTTTTCGTTCACAATCATGTCTCCTGAGCATTTTGTTTCTTTATTCCATAGCAACTGTTAAAATTGCCTTATATCTATCAAAAATAGTAGATAAAATAGTACTTTAACCGCAAGGGTAGATCAAATGATACTTTATCAGCGAGGATAGGTTAAAAACTTTATTTCTTCTCGAACGTTTTTAATTGCTTTCATTTTTGAAAATTTTTGTATTCCTTTTCATAAATTATTCGGGATTTACATGGAAGCAGTTTGGATATGGCGTTTGTCGCCTCAGCCTGAATATCTGTTGGTAATTTACTTATTTCATTTTGAGCCATTTCTGGCTCCAATTCAATCAGCAGGCGACACGAAAGAGACTTAAAAAATATTGACTCAAAACTGAGAACTAAAGAGACAGCTTTATTTATTTGTCAAATTACATAGGAACCAACGCCAACCCAGCACAATATTTTTTCTACTCGTAAGTAATAAATTCCTTGAAATAATAATTTCTGA